GGTTATGTAGAAAAAATACAGTCTTCTGTTGTCTATGAAATTAGAAAAATTATCGTCGTTTTGTGCAAGGGTGGCGTAAGGTTATTGCAAAATTTCATGTTTTCCGTCCCGTTTTGCATGTTCCTCGGAAGCAAAATGAGCAAGAACGATCGTTTTTACATCATTGCAAAGAGAACTAAATGACCTTTTTAGAAAGTGAACCATCCATGAGGAAATACTGCAGTTTTCTCAAAAAATGCTTGAACTCAAAAAGTTTTAGATTTGCGTGGTTTTTTTTTGAGTCGCAAAATCCACTTGAACATAACGCTACTTTTTTCGAAGTTTCTCAAGAACCATTCTAGTCACAGAATTCGTTTTGGCATCGTTGGATAGAGAATTGAAAATTCGATTCAGTCGTAACAACGTGAGTGAGGAAATTTGAGTAGTTTTGACCCAGAAAGTGAAATTTGAATATCAGACACTTAAATGCAAGATTGTGCAAAAATTTAATGTTTTCCGTCCCCTTTTTGCTCATATCCCGGAGGCAAAATGAGCAAGAACGCTCATTTGTACGTCATTCTAGAGAGACATAAATGGCCTTTTTAGAAAGTGAACCATCGATAAGGAAATGTCGGCAGTTTTCTCAAAAAATTACTGAATTCCAGAAGTTTGAGATTTGCGTAGTTTTTTTTTGAGTTGCAAAATCCACTTGAATATGACGCTGCTTTTTTCGAAGTGTCTCAAGAACCATTCGAGCCAGATAATTCGTTTTGGCATCGTTGGATGGAGAATTGAATGGGGGGAGGGGGTCATGACCCCCCTGTATCCGCCCTTGCATGCACTTTACGGTGTGTACACTTTCGGTGTAGATTTTATTCAATTTTCTCAAGCTCAGCCTACGCTTTATATACCTACGCTTTATATAGTTTATTTTAATACTGCTGTATATAATTGCGTAAATTTATATGTTTTTGGATTTGGAGGATAGTATTCTATCTAGAAATCTATCTAGAAGAGGTTTTCGTGTCCATGCATTTCGTATGGGCCATAGATGGCCCAAGTGGGCTTTTAGGTTAAAATCGCGATGATTGTCACCAACACGATGAGTCAAAATTATTGTTTTTTTTTAGCAAGAAATTATAGCACATAAGAACTGTTGAATTTCTGAATTTCGGAATTCTGTTCCGAAAATTCGCTTATGAGAACTACGCTTAAACCCCCAGACGACTGCTCAGGAGGAATAACGCGAATTTTGAATCACCCTGTATATAAAAGGCAAGTACTCACAATTATCTCATCCACAGGCAATTGTTCCAATTCTGGTATGATTTGCTCTAGATCTTCCGTTAAACCAGCTTCAATATCAGACCTTGCGTGAGTTGTTCGTCTTGAACCGGAGTCAAAAGAATCACCCGAAACACGTGTTGCGGTCACTGAAATCTGATCTTCTGACAGAAACATGTTACAGCTACTACAGATCAACTCAGAAATTGGAAGCATGCAACTAAATGCTAACTCGGGCTAATTAAAAAAGTTCGTTAAATCACGTCGAAATATGTAAGCCCAAATATATCCGATAATCTCATATCAGATTGTGGTTCCACTCGCGGACACTAAACTGTACTAGAAGGTCCTTATTGCTTTAAACCAAATAAATAGCCCCACACGAAGCAAACGGCTAATTTTGTAAACACACTTTCCGTCCTAATAACCTAAGGTAGAATAGGCACGTGGTCGACTTTAGGTTA